AAAACTCTTGTCATGTTATCTTAAAAATCATCCATTGAATACAAATCACAATTTTAGCAAATGCTAGTTCTGCCACTGTAGATCAATCAACGATATGTCTGTTAATGTATTGGTTGCACAAATAAGCTAAGCAAAATATATTTATATCATTGTAAATTGAATAACTTATTGGACTGTTGGTTGGACAGTACAATTCATATATTTCTTATATATTAAAAATCCAAAAATATTCCTTATTTTAATCAATAATACAAATAATTATTAGCTGTCGTTACATTCATTTTGAGTTTAGTACAGCATCATCTTTAGTCACAGGAAGTGACGTAATAAAACCTTAACAGCTGTTGTTTTTTAAACACAGAAATGTCCACTATAAAAACATTTGTTCACTTCCTGATTCAAATTGTCAATTTGAATATATATGTTGTGGTCATTTTTTATTGTCGACATATTTTTTCCAGTGTTTTTTTAATTTCCTTTTCATATTTTAATTGATTATTTTCTGCACCAAAACACCAACCTACTTGGCAATAAACCAATTTCTGATCTTGATAAGGTTTTACTTATATCACCTTATATGATTTCTGGTGCAGCTGAAGTGTAATCGCGGAACATTCCTCTCGTTGTCTTTCTCCAGATTGCTGGGTTTGACATAGATGGTTGCATCATCACTACCAAGTCTGGTAAAGTCTTTCCCACTTCGCCAGATGACTGGAGGTATGTCTGCACTCCTTAATATACTATTTGAAATAGTTACTCATCATCATATCATGGATTGTCATATTTATTTATGTATTTAATTTACAGGATTTTGTGTCCTGAGATTCAGCCCAGGCTGGCCAGCCTGCTTAAGAAAGGATACAAGGTGAGGAGAGTCAAGACGCAACAGTTGCAATTACAATATAGTGCAGTTTAGAAGATGATAACCTGTGAAATATGCAACAAAAGTGTACCTAGTCTACCCTGCCTTTGTTTTTATAGGTGGTGTTCTTCACCAACCAGATGGGCATTGCTAGAGGCAAACTGAAACCAGAAGTCTTCAAGTCTAAAGTGGAGGACATCCTCACCAAGCTGCAGCTACCTGTGCAGGTTGGTCGTGTTGTGTGTTAATTAAATTCATTAAGCAATCTTTTTCCTAATATTGTACAAAAAGAGGTTATTGTATCCCCACAATGTCTGTGTTTCAGGTGTTTGTAGCAGCCGGTTCTGGTATATACAGGAAACCAGTGATGGGAATGTGGAACCACTTGTGCGACAAGGTAAATGTTTGGGAGTCGCATGAACACACACCCTGCCATGTTATTTCAGAAGTAAACCTCAGAGACGGTTTGCATTGTGCAAAGTCTAAACTTCTGGACACTCATTTAAGCTGAGTCATAGGAGCCGCCCTTTAGCCCCGGAGCTGTATCTTCAGGTTTGACAATAGTCTATTTCTGATCTTTGTCTTTGCTTGTGTTTCCTACTCAGGCGAATGATGGCGTGACTGTTGACAAGACACAGACCTTTTATGTGGGAGGTGAGTTAGGGTGGGCGTGAAGTAAAGTTGCCATGGTGATAAACATCCCATGCTTAAAGGTTGCCAAACGTGTTCCCAGTTATTAGGTACGGTATGACAGAGAAGGACACTCACAGTATTTATTTTTGTTTTCAAAACATAACTTTGTGTTCACTGTTATTGGCCTAATACTAATACTACACTTAAAGGGGCCCTATTGTGCTTTTCGGGTTTTCCCTTTCCTCTAGTATGGTGTATATAGGTTTTTGTGTGCATGTAAACGGTCTACAAAGGGTGAAAAGAGGTGCTGCAGCACAGGCAGTGTGAGGAAAATAAAGAGCTTTTTCAACATGTCACAGTAGAGACACAAAATACAAATCTAAACCTGAAAAAGAGCAGACTATGTCCCCTTTGACAGACAATGTGATGCCTAGATCTGAATCTATCCCCCAAGCCAAGAAATGATGAAGAATGAACAACTTGAAAATCCCAAACATGCACACAGCTTATGACTTTACCTTTGTGCACAGATGCTGCAGGTAGGCCGGAGAACTGGGCTCCAGGGAGGAAGAAGAAGGATTTCTCCTGCAGTGACAGAATAGTAAGTTTATATATTGTTTACTGCTTTGTGGAGTTCCTCCTCTTCCTCCTACTGCCATGATGTTTTATGTTTGTTTCTTAAATGTCATTAAAACATCATGCACATGACTATGACTCAATGTTTCTTATGACCCATTGATGTGGAAATGTTGCACACCACTGACACAATGTGAGCGTTATGTACCCACTACAGTCTTCCTTCTTGTTTTCTAGTTTGCTCTGAACATTGGGTTGCAGTTTCACACCCCAGAGGAGTTTTTCCTGGGATGGAAGAGCGCCCCCTACAGCATGCCTCACTTTGACCCTGTGAGTACAATTGAGTTATGACATTACATTTGTCGGTTTGATCTGATTCTGTTAAAAATGTTTCTTCACGTGGACCTTTTTAGAGGACAATTGATTCCACTGCGAGACTCTACGACCCCCCGACTGCCTCATTAACCTCCAGCAAGACAGAAGTCATTGTTGCGGTGGGCTTCCCTGCATGTAAGAGGAGAAGCGTTGTGTATATTTCACCTTTTCTGTTCTCTCCTCCCACCAAGGTTTCCTAGCAGTTAAATCTAATATTCTTTCCTCTGCTTCCTCGTTGCACAGCTGGTAAATCCACATTCTTCAACACCCACGTCGTTCCCAAAGGCTATGTTTACGTCAACAGGGTGAGTGGATCTTAATAAACAGGGCTCCTGTTCTTCCCCAGTACTGAATGCGTTCAGAGCATCCGTTTTTATACAGTGGTGATAAGTCACTAAGTGCATTTACTTTTACTTAACTACAAATTTGAGATACTTTTACAATGTATACTTTTACTGTGCTACATTTTCAAGGTGTATATTGTAACAAATGTCTTATAAATTCATAGACCAACAAATGCATCTTTAATGATTAGCCTATATGAATTAAATGGAACCATTTTGATCTTTTCAGTTAGTAGTGTGAAAAAGCGTCATGTTTGCTTCTCAAATGTAAGGAATACTTCTTTCACCACTGGTTTTCTACATATATTATTGTTGGTTTACTTTGTTTATTTCCTACCCTGATGGCATATTTGATACTCAAGTTTGTAACTGTTTTAACGATTGTATCGCAATAATGATGAGAGCCTCACGGTTTAGACACATTTGAGTACTGTTGTTTTATACCATACTGTGGGCACTTCTGTTAGTCTTCCCTGACATGTTCTGACCCGGCACTATTGATGCTTTGTATCAGGACACGATCGGTTCGTGGCAGAGCTGTGTGACATTATGTGAGCGTTCTCTGAAGGAGGGCCGCAGCGTCGTCGTGGACAACACCAACCCAGACCCGGAGTCTCGCAAACGGTAAAGCAAAACTGAAACTCAATTATTGACCAAACTCTTGGCAAAAAGCATTCAAGCTCCCTGTAAGTATTAGTTGAGTTTTTAGCCAGTTTGAACGGACCAGCGGACAGCACAAGCCCAATTTGTGTCAGCTAAGGACAGAAAAATTATGTAGGCACAAAAAAAACAGGGATAGTAATTAGGTTTGTTAGCGAGTATTGGATCTCAGCCAACAGAGATACCACAAAAACAGGGATGGTAGTAGAGATTGTAGGTCATGAAACAATACACCTTATCTCATAACAAAGAACAAATCAAACCCATTTCTTTTTTGTTGAAAAATGATAGTCATACCAAACAGCTGAAGTGTCAAAATGTTTATCTAATCATCACATTTTCAAAATGTTTAAAATGTAAACCTTGTAGGAAATGTCTTTTTTTTTTAAATTGATCGTTTTCAATACTGCATGTCATGATCCTGGCCACTAAAGCTGCATTCTGTCAATATTTTTGATTAAATGATAATCCTCTTCATTTATTTGAACCCATATCCTAACCCACATTAAACCTAATCTGTGTCGAAACACTTTTCACGTTTTGTGTGACAGATATGTGGACGTCGCCAAGGCAGCCGGAGTGCTGTGTCGCTGTTTCCACTTCTCCGCCTCTCTGGAGCAAGCCAAACACAACAACAGAGTATGACTCTCCTCTAAACTCACTCTTCACTCTTTGGTTGCTTTATCCTGTATTTGTTCACCAGTGTTTTTATTCATGCACATTTTGTTTTCAGTTCCGAGAGATGAATCCATCAGAGAGCAAACATATGAAGGTCAATGACATGATTTTCCACAGCTTCAAGTGAGTGACACTTGACGATGTTTCCTATAAACGTATCCGTTTCTTATGCAAAAAAGCTTAAAACTAAAGCACTGAGGTTAAGTAAATCTAGCTAAATGCATGCTACACAGATTCTTCTTCTTTGCTTCCTGTTATGAAAAAACAAACTTAATCTTGGTAATAGTTGTACTGCTAGTGGCTCTGGTACTGATCTGAATCTCTTTCTGGACAGGAAACACTTTCTGGCTCCTGCTCTCTCCGAGGGATTCTCCGAGATCCTCCAGATCCACTTTGTGCCAAACTTTAAAGACAGCCAATCAGAAATCCTGTTCAGGCAGTTTTCTGAGGGCTGATTGGAGGATAGGCTTCTAACAACTTTGACCTCCACATTCTCCCTGCCACAGCGAAAATAGAGATAACAGCCAGTGAAGCAGCTGAGGTGTGAGATCTGAGATTTGTGCAGAGCTGATTGTCATTGCTCACAGTATTATGCAATCTGAATGGCTAACTACAACAATGATATAAGACCTGTAATGGTAACTAAACTTGGATTAAATCAGTGTTTGATCGACATTATTATATCAATGTACGGATATATTTCCATATGATATATCTGCCTAGTTTCATGCATATTTTATACATGTTCAGTATATAAATAATTCAGTGTTAAAAAGAGGAATGTTTGTTTTTTATATCCTGTATGATAAGGACGTCCTTCTGAGTGAATTAACGGTCTTCTGTTTGACAATAAAGCTTTGGAAAACACTTGATAGCACTCTCTACGATTGTCCTTTATTCCTGTGTGAGCTATTTTGAAAACTGCATTACGTTATTTTGGCGTAAATCTTGGCGGTTCTCAGCTGATGGATTATTGGTGTTCGACCTCGGGCAGGAACTGGATCTCTTGACCCAGATGCTGTTTCAGCCACGGCATTATCTTGAAAAGGTCGATGTGAAAGTCTCGTGCATCGGGAGGCGGATTGTCGCTGGTCCCTCTGAGGCCTGCGTCACATATGTTTGTGGTGCCCCAGCTCACGACTCCCACCTGGAGATGAAAGTAGGAAAAACATCTATAATATGATTCGGATTGGAAAAAACAAGTTGTTTGATAAGAAATAACCTCTTATTGACCTGAAAGTAACGCTTTCTTTTTTGCAGATAAAGGGATCCACCAGAGTCCCCTTAAAGAAAAGAGACAACGTTAATGTGAATCCCATGTTGGTCAAACTGTGGCAGAGAGATACAGTAAGTGCAGAGTCCAAACCTTTACAGGTGATGGGGTCCTTGTATGCTGTGGACCCCCCAGTACACAGGAATCTGTCCGGTATGTACTCATCCAAAGTCACATTGGTGGGGTCTTTGAGTGTTTGCCTCGCCTTCTCCACACAGCTGGGTCTCTGCAGACAGAAAACGAGTTACATTTCAACACTTTCACAATAAAACAGAAGTATATCCTCAAGGCAGTGCTGAGAAAAGGAGTGGGATTCTTAAGTAAAAATAGATGGAAACACTAATTACAATTAAAAGTCCTTAAGTAAAAACATTTAAGTATTATCATTAAATGTACATATAGTATTAAACAGTAGCACTCATAGATCTTTTTTTAAAAGATCCTTTTTTAAATATAATTTTCAATCCTATTGCTGGCAATTATGTATTAATGCTGTTCATCAATTTGTAGCCAATTTACATATATTTTACCTTGTACAACACTTTTATAATAATATAGTATAGTACGGCATCACATCAGCAAAACATGTTTTATATTTTAGAAGTTTCTAGTTATTTAGGTTCAAATGAATGTAGTGGAGTAAATGTTCAATATTTTCCTCTCAAATGTAATTCAGTAGAAGTTTAAAAAAGCATAAAATAGAAATACTTAAGTGAC